ATGACAATCACTTTGATTCTAGTCAATGAAAACTCACTAAAGGTAACTTGGTCATGAATAGAAGAGAGAAATTGGACTAAAACGTTGGTTGTTAACGAAATTGTAAATACTATGTATATGGAGATATCTTTGTGGCATCGAAGACTTGGTGATAAGTGAAAAAGGTTTAATTACTTAACCAAAAATATATGTTTTTGGGATTGAAAAGAACATAGTTGGAGAAATGTTCTTATTGCAGAAAGTTATGGATCTTAGTGCAAAGTTAGATATGCTTTCAGATTCATGTTTATATCAAAATACATAATTAAACTAAAACAATATTATTATTTTTAAAAACTTAAATATCTCAATGATATCATTTTCTTGATGGATTGAACTCCAACTATGTGTCTAAAACATCTAAATTAGATAAACTCATTTTATCTCACTTAATCTAAGTGAGTGAAAAGGGGTCTTTTATATAAGAATAAAAAGGATAATTTTTCATGAGCTTTGGAAGAGAAAGAAAAAGAAAAAAAATATTTAGCATATTTATTAATCTGCCATAGTAAAATTATTATCCATATTTCATTGATCATTGGATTGGATTGAAATTTTGCAAACGAGTTCACAACATACAATTTTTCATTTTTATTGTTGGAGTTGTTGATTGGAGAAATTTGTCTCACACTTTATTATAGGTTTCTCTTTTTTTTTTCAAATTTGAGAGCATTATTATTATTTTGAGTTATTGACTATAAACACTTATTTCTGTATGATTTGACTCTATCTTATGTCTATGATTTTTTTAAGTCTTGTATTTGTTGAATATAGAGGAAATAGGGTTTGAAATTAATCTCCCTTGTGTATAAATCACACATAGGGTAATCTATTTATAATACAAAGGTACAACTAAAAGAGTAACCGAAAGTAAATAGAATAAATAGAAGATATTGTTTGATATTGCAGTTAAAAATATCTAACAATATCTTAACAATATCAAACTATATCTAAACAATATCTAAATAATATCTAACACTCCCCCTCAAGCTGGAGCATACAAATCGTATGTGTCAAACTTGTTACAAATTAATTAATTATAGGCCCCTGTAAAGACTTAGTGAAAATATTTGCTAACAGATCACTTGAGTTAACAAACTCAGTCTTGATATCTCTAGACATAATCTTTTCACGAATGAAATAACAGTCAATCTCAATGTGTTTGGTCCTCTCATGAAAGACAAGATTAGAACTAATATGAAGAGCAGCTTGATTGTCACACACAAGTGTCATTTGAGTGACATCTCCAAATTGTAACTCTCTAAGCAATTTCTTGAGGCAAACAAGTTCACAGGCAGCTGAGGCCATAACTCTATATTCTGTTTCTGCACTGGATCTTGCCACAACACTTTGTTTCTTTTCCATGAGATCAAGTTACCACCAATGGAGACACAATATCCAGATGTAGATCTTCTATCCGAAGGAGATCCTACCTAATCAGCATCTGAGTAGCAAACAACTCTTGTATGGTTATTAGAACCATATAACAATCCTTTTCCGAGAGATCCTTTAATATACTTCAAGATATGAATGATTGTATTCCAATGATCTTCACATGGTGAATTAAGAAATTGACTTACCACACTGACTGCAAAGGAAATTTCAGGACGAGTAACTGTAAGATAATTCAATTTTCCAACTAATCTTCTATACTACTCAGGATCAGATATAGGCTCCCCTGATTTGGTAGAAGTTTAGTATTGGGATCCATGGGTGTATCAACAGACTTTGAACTCATCAACCTAGTTTCCTCCAAAATATCTATGGCATACTTCCTCTGAGATATAACAATACCATCATTGGACTGTGTCACCTCAATACCCAAGAAATATCTAAGTTTGCCAAGATCTTTGGTCTGAAAATGGTGACAGAGATGTTGTTTCAACTGAGAGATGTCATGTTTGTCACTACCTGTAAGAACAATGTCATCAACATATACTATAAAGTAAACACATCAAGCACTTGAGTATCGATAAAAGACAAAATGATCTGCTTCACACCGAGTCATACCAAATTGTTGAACAACCTTGCTAAACTTTCCAAACCAAGCCCTAGGAGACTATTTTAGGCCATATAGGGATTTGCGAAGACGACATACCATCCCAGAAGACTCCCCCTGAGCAACAAACCCAGGAGATTGCTCCATATATATTTCTTCTTGTAAATCACCATTGAAGAAAGCATTTTTAACATCTAGTTAATAAATAAGTCATTGTTGAAGAGCGACCATCACGATAAATAAATGAACAGAAGTCATTTTTGCCACAGGGGAAAATGTATCTCCATAATCCAACCCAAAAATTTGAGTATAACCTTTGACCACAAGACGAGCTTTAAGGCAATCAATAGTACCATCAGGTCCAACTTTGATAGCAAACACCCACCTGCAACCAACAACAGATTTCCCAGATGGTAATGGGACCAATTCCCAAGTTCCACTATTATGAAGAGCACTTAACGCCAACTAGGATGGGCTAAAGCTTCACGGACAGTTTTTGGAATGGTCACAGAAGAAATAGAGGAAAGACATGTATAAAAAGTTAATGACAGTCGATGATAACTCAAAGCAATATAATGGGGAGAGGGATTACATGTAGAACGAATACCTTTTCGGAGGGCAATGGGAAGGTCAGACTCATGTGTCAGATCTGGAGGAGACAGAGTAGTTGGCACTTGAGTGGAGTCACATGGTGGTGATTGTGATTGGTTTCGACAACTATAAATCTGAAGAGGCAGTGAAGAAGAAGTTGACTGCGGAGCAGGAACTAATGGTGAATAAGACACAGTTAGAGGGTCACAAACAACAGGAACATTACATGTACTAGGAGTGTTGACAAGATTGGATGAAGACAGAGATGAAGATTGACTTTTAAAATAAAGAGACAACTCATCAAAGGTGACATCTATAGACACAAAATAACGGTTAAGAGAAGGAGACAAACATTTGTATCCTTTTTGTGATCTTATAAACCCTAAGAAAACACATTTATGTGATCTAGGAGAAAGTTTGTCAAGACCAGAACTGAAATTATGAATAAAACATGTAGACCCGAAAACTCTCAGAGGTAAAGGATGAAGTAGTTCATGAGGGAATAAAATGGAATGAAGTATTTTATTATCTAAAACCGAAGAAGACATGCGATTAATGAGATAACATGCAGTAAGAAGAGCATCACCCCAAAAATGTTGAGGAACCTCTCCATGAATTAAAAGTGTACGAGTTGTTTCAATAAGATGTCTATTTTTACGTTCAGCTACACCATTTTGTTGAGGTGTATAAAATATATAAATTGATTTTAAAAAATTAAAATAAATATTTAAAAATAAAAATAAAAACTAGTATTATCTTAAATTTATTAAAAGTATAATTAAATCTCTATTTTCTTATGCAATTTTAGAAATTTTTAAATGAAAATCCAATATATAAAAAAGTTAAAATTTTAAAAAGGCACAACCTTAACTTATATTAACTATTTTTTTGAAAAACATCGACAAGAAAAACTTAAGTGATGAAGTTTTCAAATGTGATGTATAAATTTATTGAGCAAAATTAGAGGTATGTTGAATATAAATTTAAATATATTTTTAATTTATTTAAATATGGTTTATTTTTAGTATTTATAAAATAGATTAATTTTAAATTTTTAACTTTTCTATCATTCTATTTTTAATCTTTGTTATTAATTATGTTAAAAATAAAAAATATTAATTAGTATACTTAAACTAAAAAATATTTTAACTAAAGATAAATATATTTTTATAAATAATTTAATTAAATAATATATTTATTATCTAATGTATATTGATATAAATTTCTTTTGGGTATATCAATTATATGAAAACAACCATGGTTAAGTAATTAATAATAATAAAGCAATAAATTTAAAAATTAGATTAAAAATAAAGTATTATAAAATAAAATTGTAATAATTTGATTAAAATTGTAATTTTTTTAATTAATTAAGTTAATGAGGAATTAAAATGTGATAATTTGATGTGTTTAATTTTTTTAATATAAATTTTTAAAATATAATTTAATTTCAATTGAAAAATAAATTAAAGAATATTTGTTATTAAACATTTTAATATCACTCTAGTATTAATTTATTACAATTTAAATTTTTAATAAATTTGATTTATTTTTAATAATATTTTTATTTTAGTAATTTTAAATCAAAGTTAATCTTTATTTTGTCAATATTGAGACCAAAATTTATTTTTAAAGTATATTTTAAAAATTAAATTATTTTTAAAAAATAAATTACTTTTAAAAAATAAATTGTAAAAAATATACTAAAATAATTAAAGTATATTTATAGAAAAATAAATTTAAATATAATAAAAAAATAATATTCATTAGCGACCAATTTCAATTCGGTCGCTATTTTCTCATTAACGACCTATTACAATTCTGTCACTATTTTAATTTGTAATTCAGTTGCTAAATCTGTCGCTAAATGATTTTTTATTTTAGTATGAATAGTCACCGATTTAGCGACTGAAATTTTGCGACGCATTGGTCGTTATTTTGGTCACTAAATAAAAAAGTAAAACCAAATCATATTTCGGTGGCTAAATCGGTCTCTAAATTGCGACTGAATTAACTCGGTCACTAATTGCGACTAAATTAAAGTGGTCGCTAAATCGGTTGCTAATTACGACCGAATTAATTCGGTTGCTAAATCAATCACTAATTGTGACCAAAATTAAATCGGTCGCTAAATCAGTCACTAATTACGACAAAACAGTCGCTAAATGTGATTTTTCTTGTAGTGATATATTTTGTTATAATTGTACTAATTTAATCATAAAACGTAACTACAAGTATACCTGATTTTTGTGACACTACGTGGAGGTTTATCCACCAAATTTTAAAATTTTATAAATCCATTTTGTCTATTCAAAATCCATTTTAGCCGCATCTCACTTTATCATGTTTACTAGAACAAATATGAGATAGAATGGCCACAAATTCCACTTTTATGTGTTCTAAGAGGATAAGGTTTTGGAATTTTGGATCAAAGTTCTTTGTGATTGTGAGTTGGCCTCCTCACTTGGGCACCCACAGATTTCAAATGGAAAAACCAACTTACATTGCAGTTATTCCCAGCGTAGGGTTCAGCCACTTGGCTCCCATTCTTCATTTCTCAAAGCGACTTGTTGAGCTCCATCCACATTTCCATGTCACATGCATTGTTCCCTCCATTGGCTCTCTCCCAACTAACTCAAAAGCTATCCTCCAAACTCTTCCACCAAACGTCAACCCCGTTCTTCTTCCACACCGCTCAACCTCAATGACCTTCCACAAGGGCTTTCCATTGTGGCCCAAATCCATCAAGCTATGCGTCTCACCATGCCATCGATCCATCGGACCCTAAAGTCCATAACTTCAAACACCCCCCACGTGGCCATGGTGGTTGATGCTTTTGCCTATGAAGCACTAGATTTGGCTCAAGAGTTCAACATGTTGTCCTACTTTTACTTCCCTTCCTCAGCTACTACACTCTCCACCGACTTCTACTTGCCAAAGTTGGACCAGGAAACATCATGTGAGTACAGAGATCTGCCACATCCTATTCAAGTACCAGGTTGTGTTCGATTTTATGGCAGGGATCTCGGTTCAGTAGTCCAAGATCGAAAGAGTGAAGATTACAAAATGGTACTCGAAATTTGTAAACGATACCTTTGTGCCGAGGGAATCATCGTGAATAGCTTCTTGGCATTGGAAACGGGTCCTCTAAGAGCATTACGAGACGAGGGAAGAGCGTACCCTCCCGCGTATGCTGTTGGACCACTTGTCAAAACTGGGACAGATTCTGCACAGGGTTGGAGTGTCTAACGTGGTTGGACAAACAACAAGTTGGTTCTGTTTTGTATGTTTCTTTTGGAAGTGGTGGAACACTGTCACAAGAACAAATAAATGAGCTGGCTTGTGGTTTGGAGTTGAGCAATCATAAGTTCTTATGGGTTGTGAGAGCACCAAATAATGCAGACAATTCTGTTTACCTTAGTGAACAAAAGTGGGTTGACCCTGTACAGTTCTTACCAAGTGGGTTCTTGGAGAGAACCAAAGAGCAAGGTGTGTTTATTCCTTCATGGGCACCCCAGATTGAGGTCCTTAGGCACAGTTCAGTTGGTGGGTTTTTGACTCACTGTGGGTGGAATTCGACCCTGGAGAGTGTGGTGCATGGTGTGCCACTCATCACATGGCCACTGTTTGCAGAGCAGAGAATGAATGCTGTTGTGTTATGTGAGGGTCTGAAAGTGGGAGTGAGGCCAAGAGTCAGTGAAAATGGGTTGGTGGAAAGGGAGGAAATTGTTGAGGTGATAAAGTATTTGATGGAAGGGGAAGAGGGCAGGCAAATGGGCAAAAGAATGAAGGAATTAGCAGTTTCTGCTACTAATGCTCTCAAAGAAGATGGCTCTTCTACCAAGACACTCTCGGAGTTAGCACAACTATGGACAAATTTGGCGTGAGAAATCAACTTCCATTGATGCTTTTGCCTGATTAATGCAATGAATTTTAGGTTTAAATCCTGGCACCGTTGTGTATTATATTATAATTTGTGATCTAGGCATCATGTTGAAATGTGTTATCACTGTTTCGAAGGTTAAAATGTGTTACTATTGTTTTGAACCGATCGGATCCACTTGTTGAATAAGGTATCGTATGAGAAATTTAGGATAATTTTAAATAATTATATTTTAATTAAATCATAATGATTTTGGATTGAATCAATTTTAGTAAAAAATAAAATAAAATCTATTTTTTTAATAATTTAAAAAAATATTTTATTTTTTTATTTTATTTTTTATCTTATATTAATTACATCAATCTTAAATAATATTTATTTTATTTTAATAATTATTTATCTTATATTCTTTATTATATTTAGTATTTATAATCTTTGTTATATCAGTAATTATTATTATTATTATTTTTAAATTATTATTACTAATAAATTTATTATATATTAATTATATTATAAAAATTTCATTTTATTAAATTTGTTTGTATCATAAACTTTTAATTCTAAACTCATGTTTTTATCAATTTACTAATGGGATTTTAAAAATATTGTGTATTATTAAGGGATTAAAAATATTGTGTATTATTAAGGGATTAAAAATATTGTGTATTATTAAGTGTTTAAGGTTTGGATGGGTGTTATTTTGAAATGATTATGTAATGTAATAATTTCTCGTATCTAATTTTTGTTAGTGTTACCCAGGTGTTTCTAGCTATCTTACACAAATAATTACAAATTCAAACACGGTTAGATATATAACTAGATATTTGTTTATTAATCTCCTATTACACTTGTTTTAATAAGATTAAAAATATAGTGTGGAATGGTCTAATCTTAAAAAATCATCATACTAAGTCGTTTGATTTTAAAATATCATTTTATAAAATTATTAAATTTTAAAGGTTATCATGTAGAATTGTTCAATTTCAAAGGATTATATTATGAATTATCAAATCATGTCCAAATCTTAAAATAAATCTATATAATGTCAAATAGACTAAAATCGATAAATAATTATCCATGAATATAGTCTTCATGTTCCACATCTTAATAAATTCAAAACATAAAATTTTTATTATATATAAATATTTAAGCACATATCTTATTTATTAATTTTTTATGAAATAATAATAATAAATGATAATAATAATAAAAATAAATAATAATAATAATAATAATAATAATAATAATAATAATAATAAATAACAAATAATAATAACAATAATAATAAATAATAATAATAGTAATAATAACAAGTAATAAATAACAAATTAATAATAATAAATGAATGATAATAAATAATGTGAAATAATTGTAATAATAACAATATATTCGTATTTCTATAATTAAAATGGTTAAATAAAGAAAAAATATAATATTATTATAAAATATCAAGATTTAAATAATATTTTTAAAAAAATAAATTTGATCTCGCCTAACCACCTCAAATATCCTTGCACAATTAAGCTCCAATATATTTATTTAAAAATAATAACTTAAATATGGATAAAACTAGCATCTGTCTCATTGACAATAACTTCTTTGGCAATCAACATCTTATTGCAACTATAAAACAAAAATCTTGTCTCAAAATCAACTTAAGTCTCTCATAATCTTTAGCATATTTTATAGTCTTACAATTCATTCTTCAAATGAACAAGGACAAATGTACAAAATATTTACATTATGGGTTTATTGGTGATGCTTGTATATTGCCCACGGAAATATGATACTTGAACTCATAGAGATATGCATGGTTACAACCCTTTTTAAATCAATTATCAATTCATCATCAATCAGATAGGAGATTTATTAAGATGTTTTCTTCTTTCGTGAAATTCTTTCCCTTGTTTATTATTTTCTCATAGATGTTTCTTGTTCCTCTCATTCTTCTTGGCTTTTTCCCTTTCGTGAAGTAGGAAATACTTTACCATTTTTCACATACGGCACCAAATGTTGTTGCCCAAAAATCCCCAAATTTTGATAAGCTATATTTCTTGTCTAGTGAACTTAGTTGTAACCTAACCTTGAACCCTTTTCTAATGGGTTATTTTGCACTAAATCTAGAATTTTTAGGTCAAGACTCAAGATTATATTATTATGTCAATTAAATAGCTTGATTATCACTATGCAAGATTTATGGTGATATATCATAATTGTTTGATCTTTCGAGGGGGATTTACTAGGGAGAGACAACCAATGAGACATGAGCTCAACTCACCTAAGGGATTAACATCACCTTAAGACATTGAGTTATGAGTTTTTCTTTCTTATATATTACTCAACTTCCTCATTCTTACTGTATGTAACTTAAACTCACACATGAATTACCCAGTAATCTCCTCCTCACGTATGAATCATTTCATATTGGTATATCCCCTCAAGCTTACTTGTGACCATTTCTTGTACCGTTGTTCATCATAACGGGACACATGTTAATGAAGAAGGATGATTGATTAAAAAATCACTTTTTGATTATGTCCTTATAAGATAACAAGGTAGTTGTGTAAGTAGTTTGTGTAAAGTCAAATGATCTAATTTTTGTTAAAATAAAAAAGGTAAAAAGTTAAAAATAATCAATTATGTTAAAACTAAGTTTGTATTAATTGATTAGATAAGTACTTAATCGATTATATGACTTAAAATCATGTTTTCATAAGTACGTGCTAATAATCGATTATATGGTTATTTAATCGATTATGTAACTAAATCTCTGTTTTGACATAACGCGTTAATAATCAATTATGTTGGTACCTAATCGATTATATGATTTATTTTCAGTCTGTCACTACACATAAATAATCGATTAGATATTTTGTTAATCGATTATCTGAATCAGTTATAACATATTTTTACTCTATAAAAGGATGAAAAACTTTCTTCAATTAAATACATCTTTTATAAACGATAAAAACATTATAAAGAACATTGTGGGCACTAAGAAACATGTGTGATTCTGTAAAACACTTTGAAGATCAAACTAAAAGAAGAGGTTATTTGGCTATAGGATGAAGTGTTCGAAAAATCTAAGGTGAAATTGTTCTTGTCTTTTTCTTTGTGAATTAGTTATTATATTTTGATGTATGTGAGGTGAACTATGTCAAATTAGCTTGAAAATTGTGAGGATCTGAATCTTTTATTTCATTTTCAAGTGTTGTCATTTGTGTTTAGATCTTGATTAAAGGTTGTTATAGTCAAGATTTACAGGTTAGGTTGTAATTTGGTTACTAAACAAGTTTAATGAAAAATCCAAGCTAAGGTTACTTAGTTATATTGGATGTAAATTCAAAATAATCGAACTAGTATAAACTCATGTGTTTTTTTCTCTATCTTAATATTGTTGTGATCTTAAAACTGTACTAGTACTTTTAAAGTTGATTAGAAAAAGATGTTAAATAATTGATTAGATTTAAAAAGGATTTGAAAACCCAATTCAACCCCCCCCCCCTCTTAGGTGTGTTTAGACATTCATATTTTACTAACAACACTTACCTGACCCAACGCCAAGAAGACTTTCGATATAGAAACCACTCTCAAATTGTTGATCTCTATACAAACTATCATTAGAAAGACTTTCGATATAGGAACCACTCTCAAATTGTTGATCTCTATACAAACCATCAACTTTGATATCACTATTGTGTCTTTTGAAGGGATTAACTGGGGAGAGACCATACCGATGACACATGAGTCTAACTCATATAAGGGATTGACACCACCTTCAACCAAAAACCTTAAGACATTGGGTTATAAGTCTTTCTTCCTTATATGTTGTTCAACTTCTTCATCCTTACTCAATATGGGAGGTATACTCATAGTTGGATTATCCAACAATAATTTTGGACGAAACTTTTGAAATTACACCTCTAAGGGAGAAGATTGAGTCATGACCGAACCATTTAATCGGTCACATGGCAAGATAATTTATTTGTACACTACAATGTTGAATATCTCTTTAGTCCGATGAAAATCTCAATTTTACGTCTAATCTAAATTCGATACAAAAACATTTTCCTTAATTTAAAAAATGTTAGCGAAATTTTTTTCTAAGTCAAGTATTTACTAATCTAACAAGAAAAAAAACTGACGTAAAAAACTTATTTTACATTAGTGAAAGAAGATTGAAAACTATTTTAGTTTGAGCAACAAAATGAATTAATTTTATTCTAAATGTATCAAATTTTATTTTCCCCGTTTAAAGGTTTCAAAGAATTCAAAGATTTAAAGGATTGTCATCACTCTAACACCAACTTGAAAATTATAAACGAAAACATATTATTTTTTTATATGTAATAAAATATGTAGAACTTATTCATAAGCTACAAAAATTTACTTAGGTTATTAGAAAATTAAAATATTTTATAATTATACCAATCCTAATCAAGTAAGATTATATATATATATATATATATATATATATATATATATATAATGATATTTTGCAAATAAAAATAATAATAATATAAAAATCTCAACTATAACCACCTCCCTTCGTAATTTAAATGTGCGACACCCATCAACCCAATTAGATATCCCATATAATATCCTCAATAACACACCAAACCCCCTTGGGCAATCATTCTTCTTTGAAAACCTCATATATACGAGGCATATTAAGAGCATAACCATGGTCTAATCCATATAGTACACATCAGACCGCGGGTTAATACTTTTTCATTCAACAATCCATTTTACTTTTGACTATGTAAGTTATCTTTTACAAGAAAAATATAAGTTTGTAATTAATTTAATGTAAGTAAAATAAATAAATAAATGAAAAGTTCAAATCAATTTTAAGTATAAATAGGAGTTATAAGGATGAAAAATAAAATAAAAGATAAAAAAAGAAAGAGAAGGAGAAAAAGAGAAGAAAGAAGAATAGAAATATATATATATATATATATATATATATATATATATATATATATATATATATGAGAGAGAGAGAGAGAGAGAGAGAGAGAGAGAGAGTAGAGGGAAGGGTTGATGGGTCACCGAAAAAATTCTTTTAAAGTTTTATTAAAAAAATATATTATGATGTTTTAAAAAATCATTTGATGAGTGAAAATATTTTTATCATTTTTTTATTTATAATTATAATTATTTATTAAGGTGTTATTAATTTTATTTTTATTTTTTTAATATTTAATTTATTTATAATTACATATTTTTGACTCTGATATCACTAATATGACTTTTACGAAAAAGAAGATTAATACTTTTGAGAAATTTAACTAAAAGAGATAAGAGAATCATAAGAAAAAAATATAATTCCATTTAAAGTAATAGATTTATGGATCTTTCTCATTTATATATTATTTAATTTTATCCATTTTATTCAATATTAGAGTTGAACTTGTATTTAAATTTTATGGCATGACTTAATAATACCCATGACTCATGATTTCTTTAATGATCCAAAATAAAAGAGGATACAACGGATTTCCCTACCATACACCACTTTTTCCATTAACCATCCTAGCTCAAGATATGAAATGCATTTTTAATATTCACCTTATAATAGCAACATTTCCACCCACAACTTTTTGATCCAATGTATTAATAGAAATGGACCTACTACATATAAAGTGATTTTGCTATTTAAAGACAATTTTAGGAGCATCAATATTTCACTTATTAACAAAGATTTTTGTTAAAATTTTAAATTTATGTTGAAAAATTTAATGTGTGAATCTAAGTTTTATATTGAGTAAAAATGAGTAAGTAGAACAACATATAAGGAAGAAACATTCATAACTCATATCTTAAGGTTTTGAGTGCAAGGTAGTGTCAATCTCTTATATATATGAGTTAGACTCATTTCTCATTGATGTTGTCTGTCTCATAATAATTCCCCTAAAAAAATTGAACAACTAAAAATTAGTCGGTGCAATAGATCGATAGTACTGAATCTTATATACGGTCATCAAACTTTCTAGTTAAAGTAACAAAATTAAAGTTCCAACTAGGGAGAACCTAAATTTGCTTAAAAGAATTATAACACAACTTTAGAGGATCATCCTAACAATATCTGATTATGTTTGCAAAATTTCCGTGATTCCTATAATATGTTTTCAAACAAAATTAGAGACACCCTTTATCACAAATTTTAACTTCTAACATGAAAATTATCAAAAAATGTTTTAAGATTAATTTGTTCATGATTTTAACTCTCAAAATATAGTGAAACAAAAGATAACATTTTCTGTTAGGAATTAGAGAAATAAGAACTCATAACTACAATAAAAGATGAGAAAAAAAAGAAACAAAATTGACAATAGACAATAATAGAATTTTAATACCGAAAGAAATCATAGTACCCTCTTTAAATCTTAAGAAAAAATAATAATATCCTCTCTAAAAAATAAGAGAACTCAACTACTATGGAATGCACTAATAGAAAAGAGAAAAAAGAGATTTGGTGTGATTTACACGATAGACAGTATGCTCATTTTATAACAGGAAAAGTAAGTACAAACATATAATTTCCCTGATGTTGGACTTCTCTTCTCACATTTTCACAATCTCCCACTTGAAGATTTTGATTAAATTAATCAAATCTTCACAATACATTATTATTGTCTTTCATGTTGTTATTTCATTGCAATAGATCTTTAGTAGGATCGCCTATATGTAAACTTGTCACTGCCATAACATCTAGGTTCTTCTTGCTTTTTTCTGAAATATAAGACAGGATTCTTTGCAATGTGCAAGACACTCTGACTGTCACAATACACAACAACTTGTTGCTACTTATGTTCGAGTTCCTCCATTATCCTCTTAATCCAATAGTTTTATATGCCTGAGTGACAATCATGTACTCAACTTTTGTGATAGATAAAACTACAATATCCTATAATTTGGATAACCAATTATTACCTCTCCAATAAAGGTAAACTCATCAAGATTATTTGCAAAAAAAAAAAAAACATAACATTTAACAACTAGTTTTGATCCTCCGAAACATAATACAACATCTCAAGATTCATTTGATAAGATTTCTCTCGATAATACTTATGTTCTCTACCATAATTTGTCATTGATCTACTAACCACTCTCATTTGTGCAATTTATGGTCTTGTATTGATCATGGTATTTATAAGACTTTCCATCGTCGATGCATATAGTGCTTGAGACATTTCCTTCCTCATTTCTTCATAGAAAATGGGGCAAAAATTGGCTTACACGCTTGCATGTTAAAGCTCTGTAAGACCTTTAGTAAGTAATTATTCTGATAAAGTCAAATATTTCTATGTTTTATGTTCCAATAAATTTACATCCTTAAAATCTTGTTTGTTAGTCCCTAATTATTTATATTAATCTTCCTAGCCAACTATATATTCAAAACTTAGATTTGAACTTGATTTAAGCTTATTACCTACATGTCATCTACATATAACGACAAAATAATAAAATAATTCTCATCAAATTTGTTGTAATAAGAACAATAATTTAAACTTAGTCTGTGTGTAGTGAAAGATATAAGAAGAATCAAATCTCTAGGACTTAGGCACCCGTTTAAACCATAAAATAAAAATCTTGTATTCCTTGTATTTGTAAAGTCAAACACTCAATTTTTAATTGTGTATCCTCGAATACTTTGGCTGGAAATTTCCAGTAGATATGATTGAACATGATGACGACCTCCTTTTCGGAGATGAAGAATTTATTGTAGCAGGTGTATGTCTCCTTCGTCAAAGAAGAAATTAGTAGGTTTAGTCTTCTTCTACACAAAATTGATTTTTTTCACTAGTTTGCTGTTATCTTATTTCCAACATCATTCATTGTTTTACGCAAGTGTCCACTTTTCTTTGCATAATATCATTCAAAATAGATTCATGTTACTTTATGTTGGATGGCTTTTACGTATCTCTTTAAGAATAAAATCGTGATTATTTTAAAAAGGTTAATACCCATGTTTGTATCAAAATACATTAATAAAATTGATAAAAATTATTATTTTTAGAAACTCAAATATCTCCATGATATCACAATAGTAATCAACCATGTTTCCATAAGCTTATTTGTTAAGTAAATAATTTAAAATATTTTTAATTAATATAATAAAATAATATTACTTATTTATTTATTCGATAGTGGATAAAATACTTATATATAACATATTATAATTTACGTTGATAAAAAATACACTATATTATTGTATATATTTTACAGTTTTTTTATTATGATATAATTTGTTATAATTGTACTAATTTAATAATAAAACGTAAATAGACCTGATTGTTGTGACACTGCGTGCAGGTTTATCCACCTAATTTTAAAATTTTTACAAATTCATTCACTACCAAAAAAAAAAAAGTCTATTATCTAGAATTAAAATTTTTACGTAATGTCATTTTACATAAATAATACACTCGTTTGAAAAAAATATATTTGTATTTACTACAAAATTCCTATTTATTTTTTATTACAAAATCCTTATTTATTTTTTATTACAAAATTATTATTATTTTTTTATTATTACTTGAATTCGATACATTAGAATTATCGATACTCCAATTACTAAACTATTAAAATATTTTAATAATAACTTACAAAAAAATTATATTTATATTTATTTGTGTAAATATATAAATATAAAATATATAAATATAAATATATTTATATTTATATTTTGATATATTTATATATATTTATATATTTACATATTTATATATTTTTATATATATATATACATTTATTTATAAATAAATATAAATTATTTATAAGTTATTATAAAAAATCTTAATAATTTAATAGTTGAAGTATTAATTTTTAATTCTAAAATATTGAGTTTGAATCCTGACAGATCCCAATTATTTTAATTTGATATAATTTACTTACTGGATAGTAATTATATAGGTAATTACCTAAGCGAACAATAAGTTAGGTAATGAATAATAAATAATTACTATAGAATTTCGTAAGTAATGTACAATTTATTTACAAATTTTTTTCCGTAGATAATATTTATATATAATATATAATGTATAATTTACGTATCGATTTTTATTCTAGGTAATAATTTTTTAGATAATAGGTTTTATTTTTTTTTAGTAATTTTATCTATTCAAAATCGGTGCAAATGGGACGAGATGGGACACTAGGTGATGATGTACGACTTTAATCCAGTGACTTTATTAGTCGCATCTCACTTTATCATGTTTACTGGAACAAATATGAGATAGAATGGCCACAAATTCCATTTTATGTGTTCTAAGCGGATAAGGTTTTGGAATTTTGGATCAAAGTTCTGTGATTGTGAGTTAGCTTCCTCACTTGGGCACCCACAGATTTCAAATGGAAAAACCAACTTACATTGCAGTTATTCCCAGCGTAGGGTTCAGCCACTTGGCTCCCATTCTTCATTTCTCAAAGCGACTTGTTGAGCTCCATCCACATTTCCATGTCACATGCATTGTTCCCTCCATTGGCTCTCTCCCAACTAACTCAAAAGCTATCCTCCAAACTCTTCCACCAAACGTCAACCCCATTCTTCTTCCACCGCTCAACCTCAACGACCTTCCACAAGGGCTTTCCATTGTGGTCCAAATCCATGAAGCTATGCGTCTCACTATGCCATCGATCCATCAAACCCTAAAGTCCATAACTTCAAACACCCCCCACGTGGCCATGGTGGTTGATGCTTTTGCCTATGAAGCACTAGATTTGGTTCAAGAGTTCAACATGTTGTCCTACATTTACTCCCCTTCCTCAGTTACCACAGTCTCCACCAACTTCTATTTGCCAAAGTTGGACCAGGAAACATCATGTGAGTACAGAGATCTGCCACATCCTATTCAAGTACCAGGTTGTGTTCCATTTCATGGCACGGATCTCTATTCACCAGCACAAGATCGAAAGAGTGAAGATTACAAAGTGTCACTCGAACTTTGTAATCGATTCCTTCGTGCTGATGGGATCATCGTGAATAGCTTCTTGGCATTGGAAACGGGTCCTCTAAGAGCACTGAAAGACAAGGGAAGAGCGTACCCTCCTGTGTATCCTATTGGACCAATTGTTAAAAATGACACAGATTCTGCCCAAGGATTGGAGTGTCTAACGTGGTTGGACAAACAACAAGTTGGTTCTGTTTTGTATATTTCTTTTGGAAGCGGTGGAACAGTGTCACAAGAACAAATGAATGAGCTGGCTTGTGGTTTGGAGTTGAGCAATCATAAGTTCTTATGGGTTGTTAGAGCGCCAAATAATGCATACGACTCTGCTTACCTTAGTAAACAAAATTGTGTTGACCCTCTACAGTTCTTACCAAGTGGATTCTTGGAGAGAACCAAAGAGCAAGGTGTGGTTATTCCTTCATGGGCACCCCAGATTGAAGTCCTTAGGCACAGTTCAGTTGGTGGGTTTTTGACTCACTGTGGGTGGAATTCGACCCTGGAGAGTGTGGTGCATGGTGTGCCACTCATCACATGGCCACTGTTTGCAGAGCAGAGAATGAATGCTGTTGTGTTATGTGAGGGTGTGAAAGTGGGAGTGAGGCCAAGAGTCAGTGAAAATGGGTTGGTGGAAAGGGAGGAAATTGTTGAGGTGATAAAGTGTTTGATGGAAGGGGAAGAGGGCAGGAAAATGGGCAAAAGAATGAAGGAATTAGCAGTTGCTGCTACTAATGCTCTCAAAGAAGGTGGCTCTTCTACCAAGACCCTTTCAGAGTTAGCACAACTGTGGAAAAATTTGGCATGAGAAATCAAGTTTCATTGATGCTTTGCTTGATTAATGCAATGAATTTAAGGTTTAAATCCTGCCACCATTCGGTACTGTATTATAATTTGTGATCCAGAGCAAGATCACATGTTAAAATGTATTATTAAGCTCACGTTGCATTTTATTTTGCAGGTGAACTGAGTTGGTGTTATTTTCCATTCTTTTCAGTTATTTTGGGAAATAATATTCTGATTTTGTAATGTAATAATTTCTCATATCTAAATTTCTCTGTATGTTACGCTTGTGTTTTTTTGCTGTCTTACACAAATTACTATGACTCTGAACTTATAAGTTATATGTACATATTTGTTCACCCACCCTTTATTAAGAATGCACTTGTTTTAATGAGATCAAAATTCAGGTCAAAATTATCAACCTTTAAAATTGATTGTAATTCATAAGATTTTTTTTTTTACAGACGTAGGTATTATATATTTCCTCTCCAGATACCATAATCCATTAATTATCTTGTTTTAATGTCTTTAAAACACAAATTCAAACTAAAAAATTGTCATATATCATAAATCAGGTGCTATTTGAAAAATAAATAAAATATTAAAATAAATAAAAAAACTAAAATAGAATCAAAATTTAAAATATCATTAAAATTTAAATAATTTTCTTCTTTGCTTTTCATTTGTAATAAAAATGTATTTTTTTTTATAAATGATTTAATTTAAGTGATCTTTTCTTGTATAAGTGTTAAGTAATAAAAGTTGATGTAATTATACTCGTAATTGTGATATAACCACTTAAATTATAGTGATTCTAATATATTTTCCTCTCAATATAAGTGGTAAAAGTTGATGTAATTATACTCTTAATTGTGATATAACCACTAAAATTATAGTGATTCTAATATATTTTTCTCTCAATATAGGATGAATTTGCATTATACTTGGATACAAGAGCAAAGATCATAATTGTGAAGTAATTAAAAAAAAATTGAAAGAAAGAAGAACGTTTGAGCGAATGAATGATGCGAGACCCGACCCAAATTTTCCTATAAAAAGATAAGACGTATTTTGAGATATAATTTTAGGTTTTTGGAGAAGAAGCGCGACTGCTGTTCTGTTCTTCAAGGATTCTTCAATCCTTCCTCATTTAGAACATTGCAATGGCCACCTTGAGTGACTAACTTCATTCTCTTAGGATTGGGTGCACTTCCTTTAAACTCTTGTGTATCATGGTGATATTTTGAGATATTAATCTATGTTTTGATGTTGTTATTCTTTTCTTTTGTGCTTTGGAATGATTTATTCTTGATGTTTGGGATATGATTGGAAAATATATCTTGAAACCCTAGATCAGGTAAGAATATTTGTTACGTTAATTGCCAGGAACGGAATAAATGTATCAAGTGCTTAACACCCTAAACCTAATGCTGGAAAATCTTTTAATTGTGTGAGGAATCGACATTTATCAGGTTTTCTTATGAATTTCACATGCGAGGAATCAAAGTGAATGATTTGAGTAAGTGACATCAACATTGTTAGCTAGGTTAATTGATGTTCTTAATTTGACCTAGCCCTTATGCAAAAGAGGGAAAATGAAGGAAGTCAATCCTATAAGTTCTTTAATTTGATCTTTTCTAAATACCTTTTATCGTTCTTTACTATTTAATTTTAATCCAAATCTTTATGAAAACCCAATTTTGTTTCAATATACTTAATAAGCACATGATTTGGAATTTTCATTGAAATCGTTCCTCGTGGGATCGACTTTTATTTAATCGAAATACTATATAGCGATTAATAATTTTGGTACGCTTGCCAAATAAATATTCAACAAGTATTTCTGGCGCCCCTGCCGGGGAACGGTGTTCCTTGGAAAGTCTTTGTCTAGCTTATTATTTTTTTTTTATTGTTATCCTATGTTAATTCTTGTTTGAGTTGTTCTTTGATTTATGCTTTTAAGATGACATGTATCTACAAATTAGTTAGAATTTGATCCTGAGATTGAAAAGGTTACTAGTAGAAACCGGGGTAGAAGAAGAGGAGAAACTCAAGAACAAGCAACAGGAGAATCAGTCAACTCATCTCCCACACTCAACTTACCAGATTCGATCATAGAAGACATGGAGGGTGAAAGAGCAAATCTGAATCCAAATCCACCTAGAAGGACACTCGGAGATTATGTTATGCAACAAGGTCCAAGACACTTCTCTAACATTGCAATACCAGCAAATCAATCCTTGGAGATGAAGTCAACATTCTTAAGCTTGATTAGTGCTCATCAATTCACTGGAATGGATCATGAAGATCCCTACATTCATTTGTCTACTTTTTTATGAGTTGATTGGTGCCATGGGATTTAGAGAAGCAGATATTAAATTTGCATACTTGAGATTATTTCTTTTTTTATTGGCTGACAGGGCAAAGGAGTGGCTGAAAGCACATCCTAATAAGAGTTTGACTACTTGCTGTAATGTAAAAGATAAGTTCCTGAACAAATTTTTCCCACCATCCCGCTACATCAAAGCAAAGTCCAACATTTCTACTTTCAGACAAGGAGCGGATGAACCCTTTTGTGAAGCATGGGAGAGATTTAAATCACTGTTGAGGAGATGCCCAAATCATGGATTTGAAGATATTGCTCAGTTGAATATTTTTTGTACTGGCCTGCAACCTGATACAAAGATGATATTAGATACTGCAACAGGAGGAACCATGATGGGTGTAGACGTTGAACATGCCACAAGAACTATTGATGTACTAGCCTCTACAGGCTCAACATGATAGACATCCAGTTAAGAGGAAAGAAGTACTTGATCTTAACACCTCAGATGCTCTCTTAGCCCAGAGTAAAATTATAACTCAACATATTGAAGCATTGACCCAACAAATGGCGAAACTACCTCAATAATTGCATGCAATACAATCCACTCCTAACCAATAGATGAGTTGTGATTTTTGTGGAGGTGATCATCCAAATGGATACTGCTCTTACCAAAGCAAACCACAAGAAGAAACTCATTATATGGGTGCTCAAAGTGGTAATGGTCAAGGACGACAAAGTAATTTCTCTAATTCTAATAACTATCCGAACAATTCTGCACAAGGATGGAGAGGGAATAAGAATCAGAGTCCAAATTAGAATCAGATTCAGATTCAGAATTTTGGGTGGAAACAAGGTATTGGCCCATCTAATAGACAACCTCCATATAAACAATAATCATTTCAACAATCCTCATTTCAACAACAACAACAATATCCTCCAGTACATGAGAGAACAACCAAATTGGAAGACACTTTGGAAAAATTCATGCAAGCATCCTTGTGTAATCAGAGAAATACAAAGGCTTCAATCAGAAATTTAGAAACCCAGATGGGCCAATTTGCTAAACAACTATCTGAGCAACAAGGAGGACAGTTTTCAGCCAATAACCAAACTAACCCCAAGGAGCACTGCAAGTCAATTACTACTAGAAGCATGATACTCTAAAATACTTGTTGAAAAAAGGAGGTATGACTATAATTTATAATGATAAAAATGAATTAATACCTACTAGTACTGTCACAGGTTGGAGAATGTGTATAGATTATAGGAAATTGAATCACGCAACTAGAAAAGATCATTTTCCTTTACCTTTCATTGATCAAATGTTAGAAAGGTTAACATGACAAACTTTATATTGTTTTCTGGATGGTTATTCAGGGTATAATCAAATAGCAGTAGATCTAGAAGATCAAGAAAAAACTGCTTTTACTTGTCCTTTTGGTGTGTTTGCTTACAGGAAAATGTCATTCGGATTGTGCAATGCCCTAACAACCTTTCAAAGATGCATGCTAGCAATCTTCTCAGATTTGGTGGAACAATGCATAGAAGTTTTCATGGATGATTTCTAAGTATTTGGTGCATCATTTGACCATTACTTGCGAAACCTGAATACCGTACTAAAACGGTGTGTTGATACCAATTTAGTATTAAATTGGGAGAAATGTCATTTTATGGTAACTGAAGGCGTGGTGTTAGGCCATAAGATTTCTGCAAGAGGTATTGAAGTTGATAAAGCAAAAATAGATATCATTGAAAAACTGCCACCACCAACAAATGTGAAGGGCATCAAAAGCTTTCTAGGACATGCTGGATTCTATAGAAGATTTATAAAAGACTTCTTAAAGATTGCAAAGCCACTCAACAACTTGCTCAATAAGGATACTTCTTTTGATTTTAATTGTTAGAAAAGTAGTTTTAGATTAAGAGGGGGGGTGAATTGATCTTTGAAAGTTTTTCGCAAATAACAAATTATCTATTTGTAAAAATAAGATTTCAGATCTGTTCTTGAATTACAAAACAATCAATCAATATAAATGCAGCGACATAATTAAAGGATAGAAAGGTTAAGGAAGATATCACCGGTGTTTTATACTGGTTCACCCAATACCAGGGCTACGTCCAGTCTCCAGCCAAATTCTAGCTGGGTTCCACTAGATCAAATGTTTTACAGATTTACAATCTTACACTTAATCTACCATAAGAACCAAATTCCAGTTCCTGCACTCAACCTCTCACCAAGAACCAAATTCCAGTTCTTGATAACCTCTACAACCAATTTCCAGCTGCAGAGAAACCAGTGCCCAAATTCCAGGCACCAAACAATACAAAAAGAATGTAAAGAAATGAAAAAGAAGAAACTAGAATGCTCAAACCAGTTTATGCAATTACTGCTGTAAGTGTTTCTTCTTCAAAAGAAATCAAGTTGCCTCAAGAAAGATTTTCAAAGAACTTCTCTAAAACTGATGCAAATCTTTCTTGAAAAGAGTGATGAAGTTTGCTTGATTGATTGCTAAAGATTGATGTACAATTTGTATGTTTAAAAAAGTTCAAGCCAAACTGTTTTTATAGAAGATTTTCAAAACTGCTGGTTTAATTAATATGTTAAAAGATTCTTTTAATCTGTTAAAAGTGCAGTTTTAATCTGTTAGAACTTCTTTTAATCCATTAATACGTTCTTGATTCTTCAACAGATTTATTTT